ACTTCATGGTTTAAATACAGGGACACACTGTATATATTCCTGAGGTCTGGTGACACTTCATGGATTAAATACAGGGACACACTGTATATATTCCCGAGATCTGGTGACACTTCATGGATTTAATACAGGGACACACTCCATATATTCCCGAGGCCTGGTGACACTTCATGGTTTAAAAGGTGCACTTGAATCAAGGCAGAGGAGCTTGGCAATCTGTTTTCTTAAGCCCGGACAGTAGTTTGCCATGTGCACCAGGACTCAAAATCAGCAGAAGTCCAAGGGATTGTGATCTAGACCAACATGAAGAAGACCGGGCCCTGAGCGAACCCGGGTTCTGAGACCGCCGCGAGAGATGAGACTGGCGACGTCACTCCTCCGGGAATCCCGCGCAGGTGGGCGCTGTTGGACGCTGGGCCAAAGAGGGTTCGAACCCTGGTCAACAGCAAGGCAAGCATGCCACAAAGTCTGTACAGCCTGCGCTGAACGGCACACCCCCACCCACTGCACTATTAATCTCTTACAGAGCACTGATCGTCAGTAGGAATTACAATCACACAGCCCTCCGTTAACATGCACAGAAAAGCGCTGTAGCACTAGCAACGATGACAGGATTTGTGCTCAGTAAACCAAAGTAAACTGAGCTAATAATGTTTCGCCATGGAAACTGTCATAGTTGACGCCATCAACCCACAGCACAGCCCTTCAGTGTCCATCACGTCTGCACTCAGGCTGCGTCACTCCTTCGATCTCAGAGAAGAGGGGCTGACAGCTGCACGTTATGAGTGGAGGGCCCTGCGGGGGGCAGAGTGGGCCTTAACCAGCCAGAATGCTGCTGGCTTCCCACCCTCGGCAGAGGTAACGAAATTGACAAGACAAACAGCCAATTCCAGATGTTCCCAAAAATATAGGAGCCACCACACTGACCTAAATGCTATGTGGCACAGCATTTCGGAAGGTGCTTGTTTCTGTTGATCCTGATAAAATGGGATACCGTGGTAATACGATCTTGTTAAACGGGACTTTTAAAACGAACCCCACCCAGGGGACTACAAGCAGAACGCAGTGAGCCCTGGGAGGTGCAGGAGCTTCTTCACATCACACACAGAGTGGCGGGTGTCTGCAGCAAGCTGCCCAGCCGTGTTGCCGAAGCCAGTTTCCTGACCCGGATTTATTGAGGCTTTGGGACTGGGCAAGATCCTAAGATCCCAGATCAAATGGCGCCCATGTGTCGCCTTTCTTATGTAGCTCCTCCTTAGCGTAGTCCATTAGGGCTTCCCAGTCCAGACTCTCCAGCGTGTGCTGGGTTTTCTCCCAGGAGGCCGACTTGATAATTTCATTGCTCTTATTTACTCACCGGGTCGACTCTCCGAGCTGTGTTCTCTCTTCAGGAACCGCCGCGCAAACGGTTTCGTTCCGGCCTGCCTACAAAATCAAGGAGGAACCCGCAGCGAACAACACAGAGGTCTCATTAATCACATCGTTAGCTGGCGTAGGAGTGCCGTCAAGACAGTGGAAGTCCGTGTGAATTACAAGTCAGTACACAACGATACACCAGAAGCAGGCGAGAGAACATCAGAGCCCAAGGTCTGAGCACAAGCTCGGCATCACGAAAAGCGTTTTCTCTGTAAAACCGGGGCGACGCTCCGTTTGAGCGAAACCCTCCGCAACAGCTACCGCAGAACAGCTACCACGGCCGGCGGATTTAATTTTACGCACACCGGCAAATGTAAGCTAAAATACCAACAACAACTAAACATCACCGAAGTTAGAAACTTCAGAATTAACCCGAAAGAGTCTGCGTTGGGGAGGTCAATATACTAAATACAGTTATATACATACTATATACAGGCAAAATGAAAATGACAACAAAACACTTGTGCACCATACCTGGACAAAATGACGAGGCTCAGAGCGGCAAGAGACTAGTATGCATTCATCTGTTTCCCGTGGCGGTTCATATTAAATATAAATGCGGTTAAATTCAGAAAGTTTATTAACTGTATTTGAACATAAAAACAAAAGTTAACTTTACCGGCAGTTGCTATTCTACCCGCGCGGCGGACGCGTCTCCTTGGAAACACCGCGCGTGGTGCTGTTTCGGTCTCCAGCTCTACCGGGTGGGAGGGGTTTGGGTACAAGGACGAGCGCCAAGTGCCCCGTGCCCGTGCACTGAAGCGCGCTCCGGCCATCATGCGCGTCCACATTATTGTTAATTTTTTGTTCAACTAGCAGCTTGCAGCAGCACTTACTGTTTAAAAGTGTCGCTTTAAGAATCATTAATGCAAAAAAGGTAACCCATCTGATATCTTTATTAGAAAAAAACGATTACAATAATACTTCTATTATAATAATGAATTGTAACCCATTTCCCTCTATTAGGTTCAAGTAACGCTGTCGCCCGTCTGTTGATGTGGGCAACAGGCAGGTCGACTACAGGGGTGGCAGTGGTGTCAGGAGCAAGTCTGCTAAAGACAGCCCATGCAGTTGGAGTGTGGTCATCTGTCAGGTGGAGGAGCAGGACTGCACACACCACACTGATCCACAATCAAGCCCGTCAGTCTCCTTCAGCACATACAGTCTTTCTGTCAGGCTTTGCCTGAGGCACTTCTTTACACAGAGGGTGGTGGGAGTGTGGAACCAGCTAGCCAGTCATGTTGTTGAAGCCGAGACCCTGTCTATTTTCATGAAACAGCTGGCTGAGATCCTGGGGTCAGTTAGACTCTTCCTCACTGCTGGTGAGGCTCCACAACTGAGACATTGTTTTGTTTGTTTTAATGAAACCAATTAACCCGCGAGCATGTCGTTGGACTCTGGAAGGAAACCGAAGCACCCAGGGGAAAGCATTGTTATCGCAGAGAGAACATACAAACTCCACACAGATAGTACCTCAGGTCTGGAACTGAACTCAGGGCCCCAGTACAGTTTGTGCACAAATCAAGCAGAATGTGGTTGTGCGCTTACATTTGGGATCCTGGATTTGTGTGTGTGAGTGCACGTGTGTGTAGAGAGCATACAGACAAATCGGAGAAAATCTGAGCATCGCTTCTAGACACAAGCTTTTATAGCCTCGAGAAACAGAATAATAACTATATTTTTGTCTTAAGTGCATCTGTGACTCTGCAAGCAATGAAGCATGTTCTCCTTAAAAAGAAAAAAGATGAAAAGGCTACGCTTTTAATGGAACTTGTCAATAGAGGACATTTCTTCTTTTTTAAGATTAATGGCACAGTGCAATTCTGTTATTTTTCCACATGCACATTTTATTTCTCAATAATTTATTTCCGAAGATTAAAAACGAGCTCCTCCAGCACTGGGCTCGCTGGGTCTCTCTGTCCTCCGGTTCCCCATGCCAGAGGTCGCGGCTGTGGAAGGGACTCCGTATCCCGGGAAGTTTTGCTCACCGGGGGGCTTGTCCGGCACCTCCCGTGTGTGATCGCTGGGCTGCGGAAGGTCTTCGCTCTGTACCGCAGGCCTCAGCACCGCAGTGAGCGACGTCAACGGAATTCGATACACCTTGCCAGAAAAATCCACAAAATCCGACAGCCGGAACACCCAGTCACTCACTGTATGTCAGCAGAATTGAACAAAAGGCAGAAGGGGAAAAAAGGGAATTCTTTGTGTTCCTGCCATGTTCTTGTGCTCATTTTCCAAAATACGTACAAATTACCCACAGAACACAAAGCTGTCTCTGTGTCTTATTCTGAAAACTACACCCTATACCCCAGTATACCCCAATACTCTGACACCTTATACCCCAGTATACCCCAATACTCTGTAACTTTATACCCCAGTATACCCCAGTGCTCTGATACCCTACTCCCCAGTACTCTGACACTCTGTATCCCAGTATATCCCAATACTCTGACACATTATGCCCCAGTGCTCTGACACCCTATTCCCCAATATACCCCAGTACGCTGATGCCTTAAACCCCAGTGTTCTGTGACATGATATACCCCATACAGTATTTTCCCTGATATCCCATACCCCATTAATCCCATACCCTAAACCCCAGTCTGTACCCCTAAATCCCCTTCTCCCAATACCGTGTACCCCGTTTCCCCATATCCTCATTATTCTGTCAAGTCGTACCTGTCCCCTCTACCTATTGTACAGTACATCCCTTCACCTTACTCCCTTCACACCTCAGATGTGATGTGAAACCCAGCTGCAGTGAGGAAGCAAACATTTCAATAACTTTCTCCTGCGCCATTGTTCTGTAAGAAGTCCAAGCCAGCGTCAAATACTTGTCCTGCCCCAGGAGCCAAGGAGCCCAGGAGCCCAGGAGCTCAAGTGCCCAAGAGCCCAGGAGCCATGGAGCTATGGAGCCCAGGAGCTCAGGAGCCCAGATGTGAGCAGCCCAGGGGCCCAAGAGCCCAAGAGCCCAGGAGCCCAGGAGCCGCTCTCCCCCATCCCCCTTCTACAGCTCGTCATGCAGGGCCGAGCCCTGCGCGTTGTCCAGCGCGCCCATCAGCAGCAGCGCCCCCGTCTGGTTGTCCCGCACCAGCAGCACGAAGGGATGGTCGGCGTAGAAGAGACGCGTGTTCTGCAGCTCCTCCTCCTGCTGCACGGGCGCCCCCTCGGGCCCCAGCTCCAGCGCCGCGGCGTGCAGGACCGCGGCCAGACGCAGGCCCTTCTGGCCCGTCACCCCGGCGAAGTCCGCCCGCGCTCCGTCCCAGGCGTCCGCCATGCCCAGCGCCGCCAGCTGCTTCTACAGGAGACAGAGCAGCGTGGGGCCGGGTTAGGATCCGGGCAACAGAGGCCGGTCTTAACAAGCGTTCATTACCCAGACAAAACTCCCCCCAGCCCCATCAGCCCCTCAGGTGTCGCGGCCAGCTGCTTCCCAGCTCCTCCTGCATGTGTGTTACATGGCAAGGAGGAAATCGCTGGTCTGAACCACACAAGTGAGCAGTTTGTGGCCAACAGGACGCGTGAAGCTTTGCTGTTCGGTGCGAAACCGTGGTCAGAGCTGCCCGCAGCTGTCCAACTGAGTCCTGATCACGGGCAGTGACACCCAGCAGGGACCTGGCCCGACCCCAGCCCTTCGTGTTGGTCAAGGCGCTTGGCGTGAGCGCTGTGCGCACACAGGCTCCTGTGCCAGGGTGCTGAAGAGGCACAGTCTCAGGCCTGTTGGAAGAGGACGTGTGCAGCCAATAACTGTGCATGGGACCCCAGCTAGCTGCAGTACAGGGGCCCCTGTGGCTCCTGTGCCAGGGTAGGCCCAGCGTGGCAGACGGGCACGGCCCAGCTCCGCGGCTCCTGACAGCTCTTTATCGTGCCCTGCAGCCGCTGCGCGCCAGGGCGCGTTATTAACTGCTCGCCCGCCTGCCCAGCTGACAGCTCGGCCTTTGTCACACGTCCCGGCTAATGGATTTCCAGTGTCCTCATCCATTATTCTCTCCTTGTCTCTTTCTCGCTACTCCTCTTTCTCTCTCCTGGGTCCCACCCTCTCTTTCCTCTCCTTCAGTCTCTCCTTCCTCTCTGTCTCCTCTCTCTCACCCTCTCTCCTTCCTCTGTCTCCTCTCTCTCTCAACCTCTCTCCTTCCTGTCTCCTCTTTCTTGCCCTCTCTCCTTTGTCTCCTCTCCTTCACCCTCTCTCCTTCCTCTCTGTCTCCTCTCTCCTTCCTC